GCATCATCATGTTTAGTAAAAATGGACTTCTTAAAGGTTTTTCAAGACTTGCAGGAAGGGTCGATGAGAAAAAGAGGCGACATGGCCGAAGGAGAGGCCGCGTAAGAAGACGGCGTGCGGGCGCGGTCCGGTAATAATGGGCGCAGCCTCGTGAGCGTCGGAGTTGGAGCGGTTGAGGAGCCAAGGTATGGGTGGCGGGGCAGCGGAGAGGGGTCGGAGAGGACTGGAAGGGAAGGGCACGAGCGGCGCCGCACACTGGTATGGCTTCCGGCGGGAGCGCGCGAAACCTCCGTTTACGCACATAAAACGGCGAATATCTCGAAAACCGCACATGGGATCTCTTTGGGCCCCATAGAGCTTTTGATCAGAATGACGAGCTGAGCAACATATCCAAGCGGCATCGCGTTTGACTGGGGGAGATTTCCCATAAGGAAGGTGCGGGGTTCTTTGCCCAGTTAAATTTGTCCAGTTTTTGCCCAGTATCATTAAGTTTTGTTGACGGCGAGCTCGAATTAACTTTGTAACATTTTATTATTGAATTCAGGCAAAAAGAGTGCCGCGCCAACATTTTACAACAGAACTAGGATCAAAGTTAAAGTAGCCGCTGACAGCATACTGTTTCTTCATGCTTTCGGCGAATGCAATACAACCTCTACCCTCTATGTTCAGACTAATTTAAATTTTTTTTCTCGTTAAAAACTAGCCCGATTTGGTGAAAAATGTGCTGCGGTGTTTCAAAATCTTGAATCTGAACGTGAAGAAATATCTGCTGCAGGAAATACATTTCTGCTCACTCTATATGGCTGTAAAACCTCAGAAGAATTAGCCACGGAAAAATTATCGATATAAACGCTTTATAAAAGGGGCATTCTAAATGAAACAAATTTGAAATTTTAAAAATTCGAAGATTGACTGGACTGAGAGTGGAGCGGCTGCGTGAATTGCACCGCTGCAGAAAATGCCCTTAAAGACCGTAACATTGGCAACAAGTCTGATACACGAAATTGTAGAATTTTGGATCTACTTTCATTTGGACTTTACACTTACCTTCTAAAATTGCTGGGAAAAAAATTACAAGCAAAAAACCTTTAAAAAATCAAATTTTGAACATTTTAGGATTTTTTTGGGCAACCTTGTAGTGGGTATGTTTTTCATCAAAAAAATTTCAGACCGGGTGAAAAATGTCCGTAATCTTATCTACTATCATGTAGATCCTTACACACTTACTTGAAAAATCAGCGGTTTTGGCGATAGTGGCCGAAAAACGAGAGAAAACAGCCGTTTTTGGGCCGATTTTTTCAATTTTAGGGGTAGGGGGGGGAGGTTTCATAATTTGCCGAAAGGGCAAATTTGGATTCTTGTTAAGGACCCTCTATAGATGAGAAATCAGCGGAGAAAAAAAGTTCCGCTCTCAAAACCGCATAAAATCCCCATATGACTGGCCTATAAGGAGCCTTTTACATTAAATATAGGAAAGAAATGAGCGAGCATTAGAAGTTACGAAAATTTGAGAAGGAATTGTGAAATGCTGTAAGAAAAGTAGGTGTCATTAAACTCATGTTACCTTTTAGTAAGATAGACGAAAACGAAACACTTGAAGACGCAGTTGGACAAGAGCGACTTTTCCTTAGTCCCTTAGCTTTGAAATCCTGAAGGTTAGGTTAATGCTCGCCGGCCTTGGCATCAACTCTGAATCGATGATTTTGAGGGACTGCCCCGCCCCTGGATAGTTAACTCAAGCATGGACCAAGAGAATAAATAAGGACCCCCAACTTCCAATTTTTACCCAAGTTAGAAATCGTTATCGCGCGACTGCAGCGACCTGGTGGAGGGTACGGAGAACTATTGCCACAGCGGTTCGAAATTGTACCTCTAAAACAGGTAGTATTCCATGCAATGTTCCTTATAAATTTTATGATTTATTTATTTAAATACTTTAATACGTTTTACTTTAGCAAACTAATGAAATAGTATAGATGCGTACCTTCTGCAGAGGTCAATTCGAAAGACTTTGATTTGAAATATCTCATCAAAACACAGGCAAATTGGATGATTCAGTCAACTCCTGGCAGAATCAAAGAGACTTGCTAATAATCAAATTAAAGGTAATGCTTGAAGTCAAGTACCTCTGATTTTGTGCCACTAAGTTGATTTTCATCAGTACAACACTACTTCTCTCTAAAGAGATTTCACTTTAACAAAGAAACGCCGCGACTAAAAGTACTATCCTGCTGCACACTAAGTACACACTTCCTTTTGCTTTCTCAACAGCAGTGGCTGCTGAGTAAAAAGGTTTGAAAAGACACTTCACATCATTACCAGTTTATGAACCCGAAGATCTATTACGATTGAAATAAAAATGGGAAACTTTTCACACTAAACTCTTCAGAACTTAAGAACAACCACGAGGATCTAGAAACTTCCATGAGCCTCGAGTGATTGATAGGCCTAAATAGGTGGTGCATGAAAACATGGAGCAGGAGAACCCAATCGGTTCAGTTCACTAGACCCTCTGCCAGGCACAGATAGTGTTGCCACTAACTGGAGTTGGGGGTCCTCATTGATTCTCTTGGTCCATGAGTCAAGTTTGAATTTTATCACAAAAGAGAATGATCCAAGGTCTTGATATTGACCGCATGTGTTTCATATCCTTTCATGCCTCAGGTGGGGTTGACAGCTTGCTGCGCATTCCAATCCCCGTCCAGATTTCAATACCGATTTACCGTACTGATTTCAATACCGATACAGTGGCCTCTTGATTTGTGCAGCCAAGGCAACTTGGATATGAGCTATTGCAGTCTCTGCTTTGATGAGCGTCTTAAGCAGGTGCACCTTGATACCTCTTCACTTACGAGCTCCTTTTCTCTTTTTATTAAAAATCGTTTCAAATGGAATTTAAATTACCAAGAAACATACCTCCATACTGGGTGTAGGCTTGCTTGACATCACATAGCCAAGAAACAAGTTGCTCACAAGGGATGGATTCACCATACTGTAATAAGTATCTTTGCGCTATCAGCCGGAGTTCATTTGTTAACACATTTGCATCAGATGTTATACCCGCAACGCTACAGACCATATCACTGCAACAAAGTAATCATTCTTGATAATAAGTTTCCATTATCATGAAGATTTGGTAGATCTCTCCCCCAAGTTAAAAATAGAGAGTTGTCTCCTCCCCCAAGTTAAAAATAGAGCGTTGCCTCGGAGGTATCCATTGTGCCTTTAATGACATAAGAGTAGACAAAAATACCTTTAAATGCCTTTGCACCAACCACAAATGCTATCTGTACATCCAACCATCGAACAGCAGTGGCATACCGAGTGTTTTCGAGGCGAGGGTGAGGCAATTTTGAGGCTGAAATTGCAACTGGTTTGTGCTCCAAAGAACTTTCTGCATCCCTGGAGTTGCTGGGATTTTTCTTTGGAAAATAATGAGACATGGCATTGCATTGTAGTGAAGAAAAGGAGAACCATGGAGTATAACTAGCTGACTCTTGAGAGGTTGCAGTGTTTGCATATGTGTGTGCATGCAAAAGCACAGCAAGTTACAAAATAACAGGGAGGCTTCTCCTCTCTATTTGAAAATTTCAGAGGCCTAGAACTATTTGTACCTCTGCTTCAAACAATAAGTAGGAAAAAGGATGAAACTTACTCATTCAATTTATAAATTTTTTCTGAGAAGAAAACTTCATCCAGGAGTTTGTTGGTATTTTTCTTTTCAGCTGCTAAGAGAATGCCATCATTAGCTAGGATGCCAAGACATGTGCCAGCATGACTGATAGCTTCCATTGCATACTCCACTTGGTACAACCTTCCTTCCGGAGAAAATATGGTTGTTCTTGTATCATACCTGCGAGCCTGAAAATAAGCAGAACCAAAAATTGTAAACAGGAGGTCCCAGAATTCATTGAGGAACATGAGATGCATTGAAAATTAGCAGAATCACAGGATGGTGATACTTCCTATTAAGCTACTGCTACTATAACTCGAGAATACATCTCGGAAATCTAAAATGAATCGTGCTCCTCGTTCTACTTTTTCAGTTTTTATGAGCTGATAATTTTAAAAAACTTACTCCACTACTACTTCAAATACCTCTCAAAGGGTAATCCTGCCCTTTGCAACTTTCTCAACATATCAACTTTTGACTGCTGATAACTGAGAATCGAAATATTCTTTAAAACATCACAATCATACTTGGGAATCCACATAGCGAGCTTGATTTCATGAGGAAGCAAAATTCTGGTGCATGCGATAATGATTACTAGTGCAACTTCATGTTGAGCTTCAATAAATTTGCCTTTCCTACATACTTAGACTAACATTTGTAGAGGGAGGATTAACAGGTAGCGCAGTTTCGCCACTAGAAGGTTTTTCAAGAAGCCCCTGGTTAAAGAAAGTCATGATGACCTCATCATTACTTACATTAACACTGCTTACTTGCTTACTTTAATCACGTTGCTTTAAGGAACAGATTAGCATGACATCAGTCTGATAATACTAATTGGATTATACTAATGGTCAGGATAATAGGATCATGTTGCTTTTGTTTGATTGTGATAGGGTAGTGGGATAGAAAAGATCGTTGATGATCTAAAATAGGCACACAACCATCAATATCAAAACCACAAGAAAAGACAAGACGGTACAACGATCATGTTGCCATGATGGCCGGCTCACAAGTGAATTTTGTTGTCACTTGTCATCGATGGCTGGTGAGCCACCAAGAACCCTAACAGCTTCAGACGACACAGTAGGAGCCATTATGACATCCCCGGTTCGATTTCCCGCCGGGATGACCTGCGTTCTATGGTCTCATGTGAGGATCACATCAGGCTGGAAGTACGAGGATATTTTTTTTGTTTACTATTTCAAATACCACACCAGTGGTAATCCTGCGTTTTCAGTTAGTATCCTACCCAAGGTACACTCTACTGCAGGTATGAAGAAATGGAATTTTAGAAAGTCGTCGAAGCGCGTAGATTAGACAGCGTCCGATGGTACGGCTGCGACGCCATATTGAAAACTTTTTTACTTTCTGTTCTGAGAGTAAGTCTCGTCAATTTCGTGTTATTTTTTCGTGTTCTTAGTTGAGTTTATCGTTATTTTGAGTTTTATCAATTTCTTAAATTCATCTGATGGCTTATAGAAGCTAACAGATCTACCAGAACCTCATTTTGAACTGCGCGGCAAAGATGGTACAACTTGCGACGTCACTCAATGGCTTATATTCTCAGCGCTGCCACTTCGGCACTCCGTTTGTCCATACCTATGGTAGAGTGTACCTTATCAGACTTTAAACTTTCAATAATCGGCCTGCTGCAATGAAACTTTATGATAGCTTCATCATTATGATTCTCCTTTTGCCCATTCCGGTCAACAGAGTCCACATAGACCAATTGATTTTAAACGCGCAACAGGGTGAAAGGGAGAGTGTCAGTTTAGCTCATAATGGGTTTACTTTCAATGATAAAAGTGGGTGAATGTGTCAGGCAAGAACCCTGATAATCAACAACTTCAGAGCTGCTTTTAATATAGTACTATTATGTAATGTTCCATCTCCTGTGTACATTAGGCACAAAACCAGGATTTATAGTATAGACATCACCTGTATTTAGGGATAATTTTTGTATCTGCCGATGCTGGTCATACAGAGTCGACAGCGATTGAGTTTCAATGCGTTATCAGGGTACGACGGAGAATACCATTTTAATTCTTGGTTTTACTTTCGATAACATTTCATTTTCATGAGCCTGTATCTGCCAATTCTGGTCATGTAGAGTCGGCAGCGATTGAGTTTCAACACGCTATCTGGGTAAAACGGAGAATACAATTTTGATTCTTGGTTTTACTTTCAAGGATGGTAAAAAAAACAGTCCATTTACTGTCACACCTTCAGGCAAGAACCATTCAGCTAAGGACTACAAATAAAGGACAACTTAGGAGCCACTTGGCATGTATGATTCTTCCATATTGGTCCGTCCCTTTCACACGGTAGACCGAGAACCAGACGTTAAAGTAAAAACATCACCTATACCTACTCAAGGCTTAATATTATATTCTACACTATGTGATCCCTCTCATCTATACTATAAGCTCCAAGACCTCATAATTTTGCGAAACTGGTAACGCTTAGTTCCAGCGTTCTACCGGGCCGATTTTCATGATTTTTGCGGCTATCGACGGGCAATTGTGTTTAAATAAGCCAACTCTTTTCAGATTTTCAAAATATGGCCCAGGTTTTTTTATATTACGTGGTAAAGTTGCGAATTCTCCCATTTAAACAATGTAAATTTAAACTTTTTGTCATAGTTCGTTTGAGCCTTCTACCGGGCCGATTTCCATGATTTTTGCGTAAATCGACAGGTAATAGGCCCTAGATGAGCCCGCTGTAATCAGATTTTGGAAAAACGACCCAGGTTTTTTTAAAATCACGTTATAAAAGTGATTGAGTTTACTGAATGCTCCGGTGCTGCTACCGCTATGCGCGGGAGGATGCGCAGTGGTCAAGGAGGTTGCGCAGTAGCTGTGTAGCCTGCGCATCAGCTCTACACTTATCTCCACAAGATTCGCGCTGTGGTCCTCATGTAGAGCGGTGGCCGAGTCGTCTACGACGTCGAGTGCGTCCACAATGAACTCAATGTGGGATCGATCCCCGACTCATGAAATTTTAATAATTACCTGACTATCATTGTTCATTGATTTACTGCGATATTTCATCAATCAGTCATTCCAAAACGCGTCCTTTTAATTTTAAAGTAATTTAAGTAAAGTTTAAAATTGAAGTATACCCCATATCGTAATTTTTTAAGGGAAAAATAAAACTAACACTGATAGGAGGGTAGAAATAGGGCCGCGAAGCGGCCCATTGATGGCGCAGAGCGCCTTCAGGGGGTTGGGCCGCGTAGCGGCCAGGGGGCGTAGCCCCCTAGTCTATACTATAAGCTCTAAGACCTCCTAATTTTGCGAAACTGGTAACGCTTAGTTCCAGCGTTCTACCGGTCCGATTTTCATGATTTTTGCGGCTATCGACGGGCAATTGTCTCTAGATAAGCCAACTCTTTTCAGATTTTCAAAATATGGCCCAGGTTTTTTTATATTACATGGTAAAGTTGCGAATTCTTCCATTTAAACAATGTAAATTTATACTTTTTGTCATAGTTCGTTTGAGCGTTCTACCGAGCCGATTTCCATGATTTTTGCGTAAATCGACAGGTAATAGGCCCTAGATGAGCCCGCTGTCATCAGATTTTGAAAAAAGGACCCAGGTTTTTTTAAAATCACGTTATAAAAGTGAGTGAGTTTACAGAAAGCTCCGGTACTGCTACCGCTATGCGCGGGAGGATGCGCAGTGGTCGAGGAGGTTGCGCAGTAGCTGGGTAGCCTGCGCATCAGCTCTACACTTATCTACACAAGATTCGCTCCAACGATCTCACGTCGAGCGATGGCCGAGTCGTCTAAGACGTCGAATGCGTCCACTTAGAATTCGGTGTTGGTTCGATCCCCGACTCATAAAATAATTTATTATTACCTGACTATCATTGTTCATTGTTTTACTGCAATATTTCATCAAGCAGTCATTCCAAAACGTGTCCTTTTAATTTTAAAGTAATTTCAAGCAAAGTTTAAAATTAAAGTATACCTCAGATCGTAATTTTTTAGGGGAAAATTAAAACTAACACTGATAGGAGGGTAAAAATAGGGCCGCGAAGCGGCCCATTGATGGCGCGGAGCGCCTTCAGGGGGTTGGGCCGCGTAGCGGCCAGGGGGCGTAGCCCCCTAGTATGATTCTATCGAGCGAATGATTCTGCCGGTAAGTTAATTATGTAGAGCACCATCATATCTATGCTGGGAATTGCCAGGAAGATCCTGCAACCATCCGATTAGGGTAACTCTCACATCAATATGTATAGTGGCAGGCGAAGTAAGTAGGTAACAATATTTTCTGTTTAAGAGAGATTTTTCAACTCGGAGATTCACTGCCCACTCTCCATCAAAGAAGATGCTCTGTTGATGTTGTTGCAGCCCAAAATATTAATCGATAGCTTCCATTATTCTGCCAGTTCTGGTCATCCAAAGTCCTTATCTTATGAGTTTTAATGCACTTTCAGGGTGTGCCAGAGAATTGATTCTTGTATCCATTTTCCGTGCTAAATGAAACAGCCAATTTTCTGTTGCACTCTCTTAGTGGGTAAATTAGTCAGGCGAGGACTCAGATAATCTAGAGATCAAGAGGCACTGATGTTTTATATTGAACAGCCGCTCTGTATTATCTCCTATACATATGTGGTAAGCAGTGGCAGCAAGTTGACGTCTCCAGGTACTGCAAATTTTAGCCGATGTAGAGAGGTTATCACCAAGGATATCCTGCATTAGTTAGCATCTCAATTTTATCAAACCAATGAAATAGCAGCATATAGATACATACCTTCTGCAGAGGTCAATATGAAAGACCTAGATTTGTAGAATTTTATCCAAATACAGGCAAATTAGACAATTCAATCAACTTCTGACACAGAATCAAGGAGACTTGCTAATAATCAGATTAACAGTAATGTTTGAAGTCAAGTACCGTAATATGGGGTGAATGGGGACAGTTTTTTATACAAATAAACGTCTGTGGCCTACTGATTTCGAGAATTCGGTTTTTCTTTTTAACAGGAAGATGTGACCCTGAAAGACCTTTACTTTCCCCCAAAATTATGATGATACGAAAATTTTAACTATTTTAATTTTGTTGTTTCACCTACTGTCTCTATTCAGCCTCCACTGGCGTGAATAGGGACACCAGCAGATTTCAATGTAAATAAAGCGTTGTTCCCATTCTGCTAACTGGAGAGTGGATGGAGGCACTACCTGAGTTTTAAAAAAAAGTGAAATTCGAATCTGAATTGGAAAAACATGTCTTTCATTAACAAAAATTAGAT